GCACCAACTTTCTAATGCCATATCTGTAACCATAACTAGCTTTTGAGGCAAGCCCTTTCTTCAGGGTAGTATGAAAATTGTATAAGGTAATGAAGATATAAAATGGAAAAGCAAGAAGGTGAAAAGCAAAGAGAAAACATGATGTGTAACCAGTTCTTCCTGGTCGTAGAGGAAAGAAAAGATAGCAGGACAAAGCACGACTCTTCTTCACAGCTGGTGATTATTTGTAACTCACAGCTCGAGAGCTCAGTTTAGCTGGAGCATGCGTCTTGGCACACATGCTTCTCTCTTTTTTTTTTTTTTTGCTGGCATTGTTCTAAGTGCAAATTGTATTTATTTTATGTAATAGAGAATTTTGTGACTTTGTAAAAAATAATTTTGTCAATGGGAAAAGTCCCAGTGGTTTTAGATCTCATCTCTAAGGGTTTCCTTCTATCCTTTATTAGCGTCTTGACTGAATCCATTAGACTTCAAATCAATTACAGGAAGGTGAAACAAAGGTACTGACACAGCTACTCTTAAAAACCAGAAGATAAGCACTCTTTGAAGAAACAGTTGTTAAATTTTTTGAGTTAGAGATTCTTGTAGAGAGCCTCATTGCATCCTACAGACTTTAGGGAAAACACACACACGCACACATTTTATACTTGATTTATATATGATGCACTTATATAGGCCATTCCATGAATGTCAGGTTAAGAGCTCTTTCTCTGTAAAGGTCAGGGAGGAGAAATTGAAAACATAAGCTCATTTCATTGATCACTTGGCTTGGAAGTGGAGCACAAACCTTATGTAGGATTATGGCAGGTGTCTACATCTTCCCAAATAAAGGAGCTCTTTACACCTTTCTTGCTCATCTGAGTGACTTGGAGCACTCCAACCATTGTGTCCCCACTTCAATCTATTCAACCGTAACATCTTAGAGGTTCACTTAACCTCACCCTTAAATGTTTTTTCTCTTGGGCCTCTCAGGTGGGTATGCTTTGGGTAGTGGGAGTACATGGGGCTGGGTCTCTACTCGCATGCCTCAGAGCAAATATTGGAAATTGGTACAAAAATCTGATCCCTGCTTTAGGAAAAGGCCAAGAGATCATGTTGGAAGATAAAAATAAAATTTCTGTAAGTCAAGCCAGAGCAAGACTGAAAGCAAGAGGATATCCAGTGATTCAACTGGATGAAAGAACAACTTGTGAAGAGAGATACATTACTGAAATTAAGAAAGGTTGAAGCTAGTACATGCTGAGTTTATCCTTCAAAGTTTTCTAATAATTATTTTAAGTATTTCACATACATTCTTGTCTAAACACAGTAGCTTACCACTTAGAAATGCAAATTAAATTAAATGTTCTAAATGCAAGTTTGACCATATATTGCATAAACAAGAACAGACCATAGGACTCTTTAATTCATGTTTCTGTCATTTTCATCTGGACATCAATCTACTGACCTCCTTGACCCTCAGTCTCCTCTGCCAGCACCTTTTCCACCCCAGCTAATGCCAACTCCAGTCTTCCAGCTGCTCAGGTTGAAAAATCTGTTGGGAAATTTCCTATTGAGTCTACCTTTAAGATATGTACCTTAGATCTATATATCTTGAATCAAGTCATTTAATTCTCAAAGTAGACCACCTAAGGAAGATACTGTTTGTCCTCATTTTTTAGAAAAGCAAAATAAACCAAGGCTCAAAGAGGTAAGTAAGAAACTAGTCTGCTACCTAGTTGCAGGGAGGAGAGTCAGAATTCAGCCTAGGGCAGCCCGGGTGGCTCAGCGGTTGAGCACCTGCCTTCAGCCCAGGGCATGATCCTGGAGACCTGGGATCGAGTCCCGCATCGGGCTCCCTGCATGGAGCCTGCTTCTCTCTCTGCCTCTCTTTCTCTCTGTATGTCTCTTATGAATAAATAAAATCTTAAAAAAAAAAAAAAAAAGAATTCAGCCTAGACAGCCAAACTCCAGAGCCAGGCTCTTAATCATTAGGAAATATTACCTCACAAAAGAAATTAACACCTGTCTAAAAACTGATCTAGCAAAGGCAGGACTAAAGTCCGCAACAATAGAGGTACATTGTACAGATTTGTTCCAAAGTCGCTAATTTAACATTGTACAATGAAAATGTACCCAGAAGAGCTATTAGGAAACGTAATATAAATGTCCAGAGTCTAATAAACTTAGTATTTCTCTCTCATTATGGCTGTGTATATTTTCGTGATACATTTTTTAAGATAATTTTTTTTCCTAGCTACTATCCTTTGAAAAAGAATATGAGATTTTTTGAGGAAAATTTAGGAATGACTACCAAGAATAATCTCTAGATGAGTTAGAATGTAAGCTCCGAAAGGGCAGTGACCATATCTAACTTAGTTCACCATTATATACCCATTGTCTCACATATAGTGATTAATTTATGTACATATATTTATTAAATTTTTTACACATATGAATTATTTTATATATTTATCCTTCCACAAGTACCACCATCATCTCTTGTGTAAATTACTAAAACCTTCTGACTGGTCTCTCTTTACCTTCCTCAACTTTCCCAAACACACAGCCAGAAAAGTCCTTCTAAAAAGGACCAGATCATTCCATTCCTTTGCTCAGAATCCCACAGTGGCTTCCAAAGTCAGAGCAAGGTCAAAGTTTACGATGGCCCAGAAAGCTTGTGATCTCCCCATTCCCTCTGTTATTAGCTCTCTGACCTCCTCTTCTTGCTCATCTCTCATTCCAATCCAGTCTCCTTGCTGTTCTCCGTATCTGCCAGGTGACCTTTATACACTATTTCTGCTTAGAACAGTTCTGCCCTATGGTATCTATGTGGCTCTCACCTATTTCAAAGATTTTCATTTTTTGTTTTTAAGTAATCTCTACACCCAACGTGGACCTTGAATATACAACCCCAAGATCAAGAGTTGCATGCTCTGCCAACTGGGCCAGCCAGGCACCTCATTGTGAATATTTTTAAAAATTTTTTAAGTAACCTCACCTACTGCAAATCATTCTCAAATGTCATCTCTGATGAATTCTACCCAAACCACACTACTTAAAGAGGCAAAGCTCCCACTCTATTATCTTAATTTTTCTTTTATCCCATAGAATTTTATCACACTAACATGTTAGGTAATTTAATGAAATTTGTTGATCTCTAAAGACTTGTGTACCCCAAGTGCTTGGAATACTGTTGAGTACATACCTGAATGAATGAGTGAATGATTCATAGCCCACATGGTTAAGTGCTCAGTCTATGTTTACTGAATATTGGCCATGAAATACTACATTTACCATGGATTCAGATGCTCACCCAGAGCATGGAACCTATTTAGCTGTTGGCTCTGCAACTAAAATGATTATGGATAATATGCACCAAAATTGTAACAGCTCTTATCTCTGGGAGGGCAATGTTCACTGACTGCAATGGGATCTATACCTTTTTTTTGCAGCATTAATGTGTTACATTTTTCCCAAGAGATTTATTACTTATGTGAATGAAGTACCAATTTTAAAACAAAAAGTTAGAGGTTTGAAAGGAACACTTAGGAAGAAAACTAAAAAGAGAACTTTTCAATCTGAAGGCAGGCAAAAGGAGAGCAATTTTATAGGTAGATGAACAGGAAATGGGCCTAATGGAATATGAAAACTGGTGTCTACAACTACTTAGAATAGAAATGGAATATCCTGAGTCATAGAATAGATTAACATTTCAAAATACTAGATTTTTAACAAGATATAGTCCTGCCCATGTGTGAGAGCTAAACCTATGGCCTATTCAATTCTGGGATTGTGGAGTGCCTAAAAATTCATAATTCTTAACGATAGGGAGATGGGAAAATTAAACTTTAACACTAAAATACTGCTTGAAGAATTGTCTTTTTAAAAAAATTGTCTTAACACTTTTCCCCTCAACAACAGAAAATTAAAGGGGCATGAATCAAAACAAAAATTGTTTGAAAATGCAAATGTTTTTATTAATATCAAGTATTTTCACTGGCTTACCTCTCTGTCCCCATTAGGCGAAGTATATCCAATATTGCTTTATTAGATTGTGCATATATTGTCATAAGTAAATTCTACTTAGTTTCTAGACCAAAATTTAACAGATTACAGTTACAAACCAGTGAAGAAAAATAAATCCACTTTGGTCAAAATATAGTATGTTTGTCAAACCTCAATTAACATCAATATTTGATGGCTAATCTAATAATTAGAAAAGTATATTTTTATTCTAGGTACTTGTGATTTCTTCCATGTACAGCTGACCCTTGAACAACAGGGGTCTGAATTGCACAGGTCCACACTTACTTATACACGGATTTTTTTCTATATGGTACTGTACTGTATTTTCTCCTTGTAACTTTCTAACAACTTTTTTCTAGCTTCATTGTAAGAATACAGCATATAATACATATAATATACTAAATATGTATTAACCAACCGTGTATGTTATCAGGCTATTACCAAAGTTTTAGGGGAATCAAAAGTCGTATGTGGATTTGACTGTGCAGGGAGATCGGCACCCCTAATTCCCACGTTGTTCAGGTCAACTGTACTTATAATACAGGACTTTTTCAAAATTTTCAGGAGATTGGAGCATAGTACTCTTCCAGAAAGAGGTAGGACACTCTTCCAGTATGTTAGAACAAAGTCTACAGCAGCTCTGTATATCTCATTTAGTAAAGTTACTTAGAGTTTAAAAATTACGTTCAAATGATCTTTTCCACTTGTATTTCACTGGTATTTCATATTTACACAATAATTTTGAGCAAATGGTTTTTACAGGGCAAAATGGATATAGTTTCTCATGGTTTTTCAACTGATAGCTCCCCCAAATACTATACTATAATGTGAACAAGCATGCCACTGAAGAAATTTGAACATTCGACTTGCTGGTTTTCATCTCAAGAAAAGTGAATCTAATTTTACTGTAAAAGTTGTATCAATACATAAACACAAAAAAATTTCATTCTCCCAAATATGTCATCATTAGGTAAAAATTCATCTAGGCAAAATAGTATTTATGCTTCCATTTTATTGTTTTTAAGAATTAAACTGCCACCTCAGTAGTCTTAAGAGCAATATAATGAAACATACATACATTTAATTTAGACTTATGTCCATCATAGCTTCAAAGGCTTCCCTGAAATAAGGCTGGGATTCACATCTTTTTCCTTAAGGAAAGAAACACTAACAGTAATTTTGTTATCCTTCTACCCACCCACCCTCATTCAAACAATAACTGGATGAATTCAAGTCTAACACCATTTAAAAATTTTGTCTGCTACAACACATTCATCTGATCTGCCTCCCTGGATAACACATATTTTTTAAGCCTAACTGAAAAGAAATCATTTTTTTTTTAACTCTACGAGAATTCTCTTTAACATGTGGAAGTTTATCATGATACTAATTATTTTGTCCAATACATAGGCTAAGTGGCTTCATACCACTTTCAACTCTAGTGACTTTCAGTAAAAACAGGAGAGCTCCTCATAAATAGATGAAAAGCTCTAAAGTGAATTTGGCTATTTTCTTATTACAAGAAATGAAGAATGGTATTGGATTTTCAACAGTAACATTTTAACAGCTCCTAAACAGGGGCATGAAAAGGAATCAAGTTCGCACCAGTCCAAGTACCTACAGTAAAATGACAGAAACACTCACCACCACCATCTCACACTAGTTCATACTTCACTCCCACGCTTCTAATAACAAGAATTTCTCACTAGATATATTGCATTACACTGGACTCTCAAATTGCTAGATGTGAAAAATCACTCAATTAACTTAAAAAAAAGTGTATTAGTTATTTTCAGCTGGTCAAGGTTGAAATGATAATCGATATCATCTCTAACATCAGCTCTAAGTTCATAGATGCCTCTGCATCTGATGATCCAAGGGGAGACACTGTTTTGCCTTTATCTGACAGAATTAAATGGTAAATTAGCCATCAGTTCACCCTTTGTCAAAAAGAAATGTTCTAGATTTATGCACTACAAACTAGTTAATAAATGATATCTGCATACTACACTTTTCATGTTTATATTATGCACCATTTTAGGGGGAGGAAATACTTCACAGGGGTTTATTCAAAGGATATATAGTAATATCCTAAGACTGTTGATTTATACATATGAGTTCCGTATAAAACGTAAGTGGTCATGGTAGCTGGACTGTAACAAGCCCCTATAATGCAAAAGCTGACTCAAAAGGCACCTTATAAAGCTCTGAAATTCACAATTTAGTAATTACTTTTCTCCAATACAAAATCATCTGGAAGTCTGCACTGTTGACTCCATTTTAAAACGTTCCAAATTTTATACTGCTTAACCAATAAAAGGAATAGGAGATAATAGTTTTAAAATTTCAAGTTAGAGAAAAAAAACAAAACAAAACCTTATCACACAGTAATGAAACCTGAGCAACGCAAGTTTGTGATTACAAGAACATCCTTCATTAACACAGTATTCCTCGATGGCATTCAAATTGTACTTTAAAACCCAATAGACAAGAATCCACTTCAAAGCACAGGATCAAACTCTACCAGGATATGAGGAATTATACAAAGCCTATTCAGCCCTAAATATTTAGTTTAAGACAATGAGCAGAGTAGAACACACTTCATCTAAATAACACAATTTAAACAGTTCTATAAAATAATGTTACTTAAGATTAGTAAATGTGGTGCATCATGTGATTCCAACCATTCAGTAAAAAGCATTAATGAGTAACAGTATCCCCCAACAGCTTGGAGCCTGTAGAGTCAATTACTTTGGCCATATCTTTCCAAATAATTACTAATGCCTTTTAATATTACGAACATAAATATGGAATTCCAATGTATTTTGGTGCTCCTGAGGCTGCCTAAAAATGAAAAGGCATCCAAGTGAAGTGCATTATATACTTAATATACCTCAAAATTTCAGTGCCTAAAATGTGAAATAATTCTTTACCATTTAACAGTCTGCCTTACAGTAAATTCTAGTAGATTTTTACTTTTAGGATTTTATTGTAACTTTGGGAAATTAGTGGTAAAACATATGGTTTTAAAAAACAGTATGTGGCTGCACTTAAATTCACATAAAAATAGCATTTTTACAACCATTTTGAAATTTAATCCTTTTACACAGGTTAACAAAATGTATCACAAGAAAAACTAAACATTGGATTTAACAAAAGCAATATTTTTGAAAGTGGACAATGAAAAATTCTCAAATTTTTTTTACAAATGGTCACCTCTGGGTCAATTTACCACGTTAGGGGAACAAAGTTGTTAAAATATAGCTGTGCTCAACTGAGCCACTTATCTGCGCTACAGTATAGTACTTGAAATCAATCCTAAGGTCAAGATTTAAAACCATATTAAGAGACAAGACCCTAAATGTTTTACGGTCACCTCACTAAGAGGTGTTTTTCCTTCCCCAAAACAGTCAAAAGCTTAATTAAAAGATTGACTATACATAAGTTTTTTTTTTTCCTCATCATATCTTCAGTTCAAAGCACTATTAATCATTGGTAATACGGTCTATATCTTGTCTGATCTGGATGATGTGGTCCAGGAAGTGGGGTTTGAGAAGGCGGACCCTGCATTCGTGGAGGAGGAGGTGGCCCTCTCGGTGCAGGCCAGATACCAGGACTCATTCCCCCTGGTTGTGTAAATGGAGGGCTCAGAGTTCCTTGATCTTCAGTGAACTGGGGTAAAGAGTTGGGATTATAATGGTGAGGAGGGGGTGCAGTTACAGGTGGACCACCATGTTGAGGTGGGGGAGGTCCTGGAGGAGGATGATTCATATAAGGTGGCATCTGGGCAATAATATGTCCAGGGGGAGGGGTTATTGGTGGTGGAGCAGAGGTCATTGGTGGAGGTGGAGCTTGGCTATAAACCAAGTGAGGAGTACCTGCAGCCTGGGGAGGATGTGGCATTGGATGGCTTATTGGTGGTGGAGGAGGTGGGGGTGGTGCATAATGTTGCTGTGGAGGCATAATATGATGAGGGTGCGATACCACTGGTTGACCCTGATATTCAGGATGGTGGTGAGCAGGTGCTGGGGCAGGAGGTGGTGGTTCTCTAGCACCTGAATTTGAGTCATCCTGAATAGGGACAGTTATTAAATTGCTGTGTTTTCTTGTTGAAATACGAAAGGTTTCCTGACTGACCGAACGAGGTGGAGGAGGAGCCATGGACAATTCTGCAGGAGGAGCACGAATATCCTCATGTGGCTGATTATAGTGCTCATGTGGCACATGTTGCAAAGGAGGTGGTGGCATCATGATGTGCTGCTTTGGCGGGATATGGCTCATGTGGTGCTTATCTGGCGGCATCAGAAAACGATCGGGGATTTCAGTTGGTGGTGGAGCAATAGGAGGATGAACGTTTTCAAGTGAAGCACGGGTAACAGGTTTTCCAGCTCTCATATGGCGGTGGTTGATATGAGCCTGTAAGTCTCGCTGAGACAAGTATGTTCTCTTGCACCCTTGAACAATGCTACACATGAAGAGAGAACCTCGTGTACACTGCTCGATTCGCTGCACAGGATCACTACAGCTAAATTAGAAGGGGAAAAAACTGATTTACTAAAAGCAGACTACAAAGACAATGCACATAATTTCATACACAGGCCTGTTTTTAAAAACCAGTTGTGGAAAATATTGCAGAAGTTCACAATTAAAAGTTATAGTTACAGAAAGTGAACCCTTAACTTCTCTCCCATTCTGCGGTCTGTTCCCTATTAAGCATCAGCATTTCTACCAACCTCAGAACTCTGAAGTGAAGAAAAAATGAGAAGTGCTCATCAAACAGATTAGGTTTTAAAAAGAGACCCATCCTTCCTAAGGCCTAGAATGATCTTGTCTCAAAGAACTCTACGCTTTACATCCATTTGCAAAAATATCCAGAAAGGTTAAACCAAAGATCTGTCATAGTCCTAGAATTCAAACCTGTACGATATTTATTGAGCAATCAGTATGTGCTGAGCAAACAATACTAAATAAAAGATACCACAAGGACTAACAGAAATTAGTAAGATCATCCCAATCATCAGGGTTCCTAACATTAAACAATGTGAACAATTTAAATTCAAACTGACTATCAAGAGTCCCTTAAGGAAGAGTTACCAATTTCACTACTAAAAAATACTAAACACTCCCTTCTAAACTGTAGGCACTAAATTTAACTCAGTATTTTCTTAAAGACTCAGGGTCAAAATTACAACTCTTTTTCATTCACTGTATTTAATCCACACTTGCCTTTGTAGTCTGTTGGAAATAGTGGAAAGAGGACTGAGCTAGGTATCAGAAGAAATGGGGTCAAGCATTGGCTCTGTAATCTTGGAGAAGTCACTTAATCTCTTTGCTTATTTCTTCATCTGCAATATGGGGTTAAAACATGCATTCTACCTAACTCACAGTGTTTTTCTATTTTGCCCTACCTTAAAGAATATCCTTAGGATAAAGGAAACAATGAAAGTGACAGAACTGAATCACTAGTTAAGCACTACATATGCAGAGACACAAGCTATGATCACTGAATATGTGTGTCAGGTCATTTGAAATTATATTAAATGGCTCTATATTTTTTATTTTGAGTTGTGTCCATATTTCCATCCTTGCTGTAAGACTGGCACTCCTTGATCCTAGCAGGCTTCCCTTTAGTGGTCATTTGGCACAGTTCCCATTTCTTGTTCCTAATTTGCTGCAAACTCAGAAATATCTCTACAGTAACAGGATATAAGGTACTTTGTTTTGGGTGATGCTTAAAAGCAACAGTGTATGATATTTATGTAACTTGGGTTGCCATTTCTTCATTTCCTGATCTGAGTCTGTTAAGCCAGATAGGCTTATGTTCTCAAATAGCTAAGGGCCAACTAGTGAGGTACTTACTGAGGAGTTACACTTAATATCTTGAAACCTAAATTCCTTTTTAAATATTAATATTAGAATACTTATTGAATCATCTCTTCTCTCTCGGTGATGCCAATCTTCCTACACCAAAAAAAGAAATCATCCTAGAACTATCTGTAATTCTGTTATCAACCAATACTACTGATCTTGGGATAGCTTCTGACCCAGGTTATAAAATCTCAGCAGCTTACAATTGTCCCAAGGAAGTTTGTCTCAAAGCTTTCTTAAGCCTTCTATCAGGGATTCTAAACTGATATAAAAATTCCTTATTCTGGATCTCTCAAGATCATCCCAAATCAGATCAGTAGCAACCAATACCTCTAGATCTTCTTCATAACTTGTCTGAGCTGATGCCACGATCATGTTCTAAGACATAATGCTCCAGACATAAATAAGATTTCGAGGTAATAAATAATAACTTATACTTAACACAGTACTTATCACATGTAAGGTACTATATATATACTAGTTTAGCTCTAACAACAACACAGGGAGGTAGATATTATTAGCTCCACTTTACAGATGAAGAAAGAACCAGGGACATAGCTAATAAATGTCAGAAAAGGGATTTGAAGCCAAGAATTCTAATTCCAAAGTCCCTGTTCTCAATCACTGCCTGATACTATCTCTCATGTATCCCATCAGAAAACAAAACTGTGGGATCCCTGGGTGGCGCAGCGGTTTGGCGCCTGCCTTTGGCCCAGGGCGTGATCCTGGAGACCCGGGATCGAATCCCACGTCGGGCTCCCGGTGTATGGAGCCTGCTTCTCCCTCTGCCTGTGTCTCTGCCTCTCTCTCTCTCACTGTGTGCCTATCATAAATAAATAAAACAAAAAAATTAAAAAAAAAAAAGAAAACAAAACTGTTCTCATTTATAATAGTAATTTTGTGATGACAAATGTTGTTTGTTTTGGCCAATCTGAATGGACAGATAATAGCTATATAGCCCTATCCTAAGGAGAAGGCTATGGCCAACTCTGGGCTCACAAAGAAAGATCAGCCATGTCTGCATATTTGATATCCTGCTGCTGACTTATATCATACCCGGGCCTTTAACCTAGATTACAATTCATCTCATCACAAACTTTATTATTTAAAAATGTAATGATAATCTTACCCTGGACACATCTTATCTCCTTTTTTTTCATGTAAAATAGCACAGTCATAGCAAAAAACATGCTTGCATGGAATCTGTGAACAGAGACATATTAGTTAAGCATACAAGAATGTAAAATATTTCCATAAAAAATAACCATAAGCACAATAACCTAGACATAGAAGACACTTGAGAACTATTCATCATAATAAACATTAAGTACTAGTTACAGAAAAGCAACAGTTAACCTTTTTCAGTAACAAAACACTTTGAGAATATAATGAAACCTTTGGCTCTTTCCTTAATAAATGTATACATGTGCATCTGCTTACACTTTCTGGAAATATAAATGTTACGAGTTTCATCCTGTGGATCCTAGGATGTAAAGCACGTGAAGAAGCCCAGATTATCCAAAGCAATCTACAGATTCGATGTAATTTTTCACAGAACTAGAACAAAAAATCCTAAAGTTTGTATGGAACCACAAAAGGCCCCAAACAGCCAAAGCAATCTTGAGAAAGAACAAAGTTGGAGGTATCACAAGCCCAGGTTTCAAACTATACTACAAAGCTGTAGTGATCAAAACTATGGTACTGGCAAAAACAGACAAGATGAATGAAACAGAGTTGGGACCCCAGAAGTAAACCCATGCTCATATGATCAATGAATCTATGACAAAGGAAACAAAAATATACAATGGGGAAAACCCAATCTCTTTAATAAATGGTATTGGGACACTGGACAGCTACATAGAAAAAGAATGAAACTGGACCACTTTTTAATACCATACACAAAAATAAACTCAAAATGGATTAAAGACCTACATGTATGACCTGAAACAATAAAAGTCCTAAAAGAAAATATAGGCAGCAATCTCTTGGACAGCAATCTTAGCAATATTTTCCTAGGTATCTCCTTAAGCAAAGAAAACAAAAGCAAAGTAAGTAACTGGGACTATAACAAACTGAAAAGCTTTTGCACAGCAAAGAAATCAACAAGACAAAAAGACAACCTACTGAATGAGAGAAGAAATATGCAAATGATCTATTCAATTAGGGGTTAATACCTAAAACACATAAAGAACTTATACAACTCAACACCAAAACAAACAACAAACAAACAAACAAACAAACAAACAAAAACACCATCCAATAATCTGATTAAAAATGGAGAGAGGGGGCAGCCTGGGTGGCTCAGCAGTTTAGCACTGCCTTCAGCCCAGGTCATGATCCTTGAGTCCTGGGATCGGGTCCCGCGTCGGGCTCCCTGCATGGAGCCTGCTTCTCCCTCTGCCTGTGTCTCTCTGCCTCTCTCTCTCTCATGAATAAATAAATAAAATCTTAAAAAAAAAAATGGACAGAGGACCTGAATAAACAATTTTCCAAAAATGACATACAGATGGCCAGTAGGCACCAATCATCAGAGAAATGCAAATCAAAACCACAATGAGGTATCACCTTACATCTGTCTGAATGGCTAGTATCAAAAGACAAGAAATAACATGTTGGTGAGGATGTGGAGAAAAACAAACTCCCATGCACTGCTGGCAGGAATGTAAATTGGTGGAGCCACTATGGAAAACGGTATGGAAGTTCCTCGAAAAATCTAAAACTTGAAGTACCATACACTCCAGTAATTCCACTTCTGGGAATTTACCTGAGGAAAACAAAAACACTAATTCGAAAAGGTATATGCACCCTTATGTTTATTGCAACATTATTTATAATAGCCAAGATATGGAAGTAATCCAAGTGTCCGTCCGATGATAGATAAGTGGATAAAGAAGATGTGGTACATACACATAATGGAATATTAAAAACTTATAACAAATAATACAAAAAATAATAATACAATGAAAACAATAATACACATAATAAAAATAAAAATTAAAAAAATACTTAATAATTAAATCTTGCCATTTGTGACAATGTGGATGAACCCAGAGGGTATTACACTGAGTAAAGTCAACCATTGAAAGACAAGGACGCCTGCGTGGTTCCATCAGTTAAATATTCCGTCGGTTAAATAATAAATAAAAATATTAAATAAATAAAAATATTGATTTCAGCTCTGGTTACAATTTCAGGGTCATGTTATCGAGCCCCAAGTTGGACTCTACACTCAGCAGGGAGTTTGCTTGAGATTCTCTCCCTCTCCCACTCTCCCTACTTATGAGTTCTCTCTCTAAAATAAATAAATAAATCTTTAAAAAGACAACAGAGAAAGACAAATACCGTATGATTTCACTTACATGTGGAATGTAAAAAACAAAACAAACACAAGAAGAGAAACAGTCATAAATACAAAAAACACACTAGTAGTTGTGTGCGGGGGATAGGCAAAAATAGATGAAGGTGATTAAGAGGTACAAACTTCCAATTATAAAACAAACAAGTCACAGGGATGAAAAGTACAGCATAGTCAATATTGAAATACACAATATTGAAACAGAGACAATAATATTGTAATAACTGTGTGTGATAAAAGATGGTTACCACACTTACCATGGTGAGCACAGTGTAATGTATGTAATTATCAAACCACTGTGTTTACACCTGAATGTCAACTATACTTCAATTAAAAATTTTTTTAAAAATTTAATTTAAAAAAATAACTTCAAAAAAAATCTCCCAAAGAATACCAAAACCATGTTTTATCTTATCCTGCCCCTCTTGAAACTATTCCAAAGTAAAAAAATAACAAATATCTCCTACACTTAATGTAAGTAGCATTCTTCTCTGGTAGTTAATAAACTTTTAAAAATCTAAAAATAAATCAGAAAGACACAGTAAAATGATGTTAGACCATTTTAAAATTCACAATCCATTGCTGTTGTTTAGTTATGTTACACAGCAAAGACTGCATAATCTACATTCTCTACCGGCAGATATGTTACTGAATTCAATTTTTTTTCAAACACAAATGTGAAACCATCTTTTTTTGAGGGAGCATGTATCAAAATTACTGTAAAATTACAGCTGGGGTTGTAATTGTTTTAAGGATCAGAATTCAATTCTCAGAAATTATAATTATTAGTTTTACATTTAAAATTATAGCCTTCAGAAACGAGTAACTGATCTTATTCTTTAAACAAGAAAAAAATTTTTCCTTAATAAACTATAATAAATGTATACTAACAAGTACCAAACAGTCCAAAGAAATAAGTTTTCAGAAGTTAGTTTCCTTAGTATTTTTCAAGTAATTCAAGAATCTGTCATAATTATCCATAATAAATGATGTTATCCCAAAATTGCCCTTAGCTATTTCATACTCACTAAAATGTCATGAACTTAGTCATTAAACAGTGATAAACCTATCTACTTAAATTTCAAAATCCCAACTCTATGCAAATGCTTACAAATGCAAATGTGATTTGATATAGTAATACTTACCATTCGCCCATAGATTTTAATAGGCAATCCACATTTGTCACAGAAATGAACTGGCGTATCATCCTTTTCACCTAAGATGTTTATCTGTTGAAATGACAGAATTAAAATTTCCTTTTTAAGCATTTCTAAAAGTTGTATTTATAAATTAGGCAATCAATTGGTTAGTATTTATAAAAGTTGTTAAAACAATTAGAAATAAAGGTTTCTTGGCATAATTCCCATATATTCCACATCATTAGCGGTGTTTTGTTTTTTTTTTTTTTTGTCCTCTTAGTCAAAGACTAAGTGACCTTAGCTTATGGTCACTGTTTTTACTTGACTTTACAGAAAATTACTTCAAATTATTTTTTAAATTAGTGGATATATGGCATTAATAAACAAATGATTTGAGTGTTCTAAAAAGTTTTAATAGCTGTAATAAAAGTTCATACCATTCTTTAAGTATTCTGATTATAATAAAATATTTAAGATATTTTATTGTTCTAATAAAATGTTTTATTTTTAGTTATACCTGGAAGTCCCAAAAAAGGTGTCCAGGAAATCTTCGCTGATTTCCAAACAGTTCTCCCCCTTTACAGTCATACCGTTCTTCTTCATTATAATCAAATCCTTCTGAAAAAAGAAAGTGTTAAGGATTAACTTTTAAAATCCTAAATTTCATTTTGGAAGTACATGTACTCACCACAGACCTGTACAATGAGAGACCCATCTGATGCCTTTCAAAGCTCTTCTAAGGACAAGATAATCAAGATTAGTTAAATTGAGTTTAAAATGTCAGCTAGAAATAATCTTGGTGACCATCCAGTCCAACTCTCTTATTTTCTAATTGAGAATATTGTAGTATGGAGACCCACAATAACTCAACACATGGATTAGTGGTAGGGCCAGGAACATACCTCAGAACTCTTCACTCCCATTCAAGTGCTCTTATTAACTCATCAGACTATCTCTAGTATAAAACTTTACTATTTACCATCAGCACATTTGTTGCACCACCTTCTAAGATACTGATCACCATTTACTCTAATCTACCTACCAAAGTGGTGTCATGCTGCAAGAGGCTGATTTTATTGCCAAAAGCATATAATGGAAACAAAGAATTCTGCAGGTTTTCTTCTTAGACTTAGTAAATTAGGTATCCTCTTCTTCAGTCTTACAACTGAGCCTGTTTTTAGAAATAACATATTCATACTTCATCCTTTCAATTAAAACCTCTCCCTGGTTTATCATCCAAAAGGCAGAAGGCATATCATACCTATTCACAAGTATCCTCCTCTACACTACATATACCAATAATGTTACAAAGATCAAATGGGTTCAGTTTCTCTGACCCTGATCGTCATCCTCTCATTTCATACAAAAGAACAGAAAACCAATGGACACTCTGATGGTAATTCTAGGTATAATCCAATTACCTAAAGTAAAGTTGAGAAGACACATTATCCCTCCAAAATGCCAAGCTTCTCGTGTCTCTTTTGGCCCTAGAACTGGTAAACAGAGTAGCCCAAGCTCACAAGTTTTAACTTTACTCAAATATGGTTAAATTACAGCACCTGTGTATGGGTGGACACATGGACATACGCACAAATACAATGTAAGAATCTTTTGAAGATGATATGGACACTTCAGTGCACTGCTAATTATCTCCAATACAAAAGAGAGTTCAAAGAGTGTTCTTACAAGTTACAAACAAGTGGCTGTAGGCTCTTACCTTTTTGTACCTTACAAAAGATGCTGTCATCTAAAACTCAAAATAAGAAAAATCAATTTTATTTATCTAAAATACAGAAAATTATTGTGCAAAACAGAAAAGGAAATGAGGAGCATGTAATCATTTTTCAGAGTAGTCTGATCTGTGCTCCTATCCTTAAACTATGTGTGTGTGTGTGTGTGTGTGTGTGTGTATACACCAAACCATACACCAAACCCCGTATCAGCACCCAAAACTCCCTATTTTGATCAATGCCTAGGGAAAAAAAAACACCACTTATTTTTTATCCCAAGTAAGTTAAACTAAAATATTCAAAAATTATCTTCAGTCTCAGTTTGTGCTATTAGGAGAAAGAATGGTAAGAGTAGTTCCCCTTAGAAAGGGGTATGGGGGGCAGCCCGGGTGGCTCAGCAGTTTAGCGCCGCCTTCAACCCAGGGTCTGATCCTGGAGACCCTGGATCGAGTCCATCAGGCTCCCTGCATGGAGCCTGCTTCTCCCTCTGCCTTTGTCTCTGCCCCCCCCCATTAATAAATAAATAATCTTTAAAAACAACAAAAGAAGGGTATGGGGCTTGAGGAGTGAGAGAAGAGGGAATGAGGGGATATCTGAGAGGAAAAGGATAGAAGGGGTTTCTTTTTTAGCTTTTTTTGCCTCGTTTGGATTATTCCAACAAGAATTTATGTGCAGATTACTGTGCAGTTTTTAGAAATTATTAAAAGAAACAAAAAGACCAAAGAAAGGAGACCCTAGGTTATGGATAGTGAGGGGCAGCCCTAAATTGCTACCAATCCAATTTGTAACATTTGACTCCAAATGTACCTGTTTAGATGGGGAGAGATACGCTACAATAAAAGGAATCATAATATGAGGTATAATTAAAACATTTGGTTCCAAAAAGAAATACAGACAGATTGCTGGAATAGAACAGGAAATCCAGAAATAGACATAAATACTTTTAGACCTTTAATGTAGGATAATGATCAGATTCCTATTCTCAGCAGAGAAAAGACAGATCATTCAATAGTTGAGACAAACAGCTGTTTTAGAGGGAAAAATAGAGGCGCCAAACTCCACTTTATTTTTCTAATAACCAAATATATGTCCATAAATGTCCCAGTGCCAGCTAACTTTTTCTGTAAAAAGCTAGGTAAGTAAATATTTTAGGCTGCGTTGGTCTCTTGGAATTACTCAACCATGCCATTATAGTGTGAAAGCAACCATAAACATTACTTAAATGAATGGGCATGGCTATATTCCAATAAGACTTTATAAAGACTGAGCTGGATTTGGTCCACAGGCCATAGTTTGCTGACCCTGTGCTAAAGGGCAAGACAGACAAATTACTTTGGGCTCATGAAATAGGGGAAAGGCCTTTCTAAGAATTTTATAAGACCCAGAAGTCGGGATGCCTGGGTGGCTCAGCAGTTGAGTGTCTGCCTTTGGCTCAGGACGTGATCCTGGGGTCCCGGGAACAAGTCCCACGTCGGGCTCCCTGCATGGAGCCTGCTTCTCCTTCTGCCTGTGTGTCTGACTCTCCCTGGGTGTCTCTTATGAATAAATAAATAAAATCTTAAAAATAAAATAAAACGGAGAAGTCCTAACAGAAATGACTGGATTGGTACCTGACAACACAGAATCTTCAAACTTTTCTACAATAAAAATTATATATAAAAAATGCAAAAGACAAATGGTGAATCTATACAATATATGACAAAGAGTCAATTTAATAATATGTAAGGAACTAATAAAAGTCAAGAGAAAGAAAAAAGTAAAAAATGGTTAGAGGATATGAACAGGTAGATCCTAGGCAGAAGAAATGCCCAATACTATGAAAAGATATACACACAACCCCACTCATAATTGAAGAAATGTATATCAAAACAAAAATTTTAGGAGGCTAGTAGTCACGATATTGGTGTATGGGAATATAAACTGATATACTTTTTATAGAGCCATTTGACAATATCCATTAAATTCTAAAATGCACCATATCCATCAACTTATAAAATACCCAAATTCATGCAGTTCTACCTCAAGTATACATGCTAAGCTATACATACAATATTTACTGCAACACTGTTTTTAACAGCAAAGAAGTTATAAAAACTATTAAATTACGGCATATCCATAAAAAAGAAATATCCAAACCTATTTTCTTAAATGAGTACATCTGTATATACTGATACGTGGAAAAATTTCAAATGCATCTTACATGAAAAAAGGGCAGTTATACATTAAAAAGTTACTATACTATAAAAAAAGTTGTAACAGAAATCATTTTGGTGGAGTATTGTCAAAGTAGAGGAACAAATTTTACTTTTCATATTATGCTTTCTGCTGTATTATTTAGGTTTTTTTATTTTCAAACAACAGGCAGTGTTGGGGATCCCTGGGTGGCGCAGCGGTTTAGCGCCTGCCTTTGGCCCAGGGCGTGATCCTGGAGACCCGGGATCGAATCCCACGTCGGGCTCCCGGTGCATGGAGCCTGCTTCTCCCTCGGCCTGTGTCTCTGCCTCTCTCTCTCTCTCTCTCTCTCTCTCTCTCTCTCTCTCTGTGTGTGTGTGACTATCATAAATAAATAAAAAAATTAAAAAAAAAAAAAAAAAAAAACAACAGGCAGTGTTACTTTCAATAACAAAAGAAAAAACCAAAAATACTATACCGGAAAGTACATGCCAAAATGAGAGTCAAACAGAAAGACTGAAAAAAAGTGAAGACAGTAAGATAAAAAAAAAGGTCATTATTAGTAAATTAATAAATAAGACCACATGGATTATTTGGTGGAATTAGATACAAAAGAAAGACTTTTGGACTTGTCAGTTTAAACAAATTACCTTCATCACCAGGTGGAGCCTTTGCAGGCATCCTGTTTATAGTCCTTGGAGTTCGAGGCGCAGTTTTGGTTTTGTTCCCTTGTTTGGAGATGAGCTTTATAGGAATTCGTCTTCGAACATCAAGACCACCCAATGATCCAGAACTATTAGTGCCTTGTAACTCATTGTCTATGGCAGAAGAAAAAAGTTGTCATTTTAGTTTTCCTCTTTTGAAGATTATTCTGCCACAGGTATTAAAGTAACATACCCAACATTATCAAGGGCTAAATATGTAGGTTCTGATTTTAAATATTATGCTATATAAGTTTAAACACTAATTTTCTCTACATTAGATAAAACCTTAAAGCAATGCTTTTTGAGACAAAGAACCCTTTTTAAGTTGACAAAAGTTATAGAACCTCTCCCTAAAAGTAGACAATAAAAATTTATGTGATTCCAGAAGAGTTTGCAGAAAACATAAGACCCTTCATAAGCCACTTCTGTCTTTAACTATGAGATAAGAACTTCTGTCTTTAACTATAAGAGATTTTTTTAGATTAAAAAAAAAAAAAGTAAAGGAAGTAGAAGGAGGAAAAGAAAGAAAATCATCCCTATCTCCACCAAGCACACAAAACACTTGTTACAGTTTATGAAATGAATCTACATTAGGACAATCAATAAAACAAAACACAAAACTAACACTGACAATGGCAAAATTAAATAAATAATACATTTGAAAATGAAGTTAGTTTTAAGGAAGGTGACTATTTCCTTAAATGTAAAATAGTTTTTCTAAAAAGTATTCAAGGATAGCAAAACTTATCACACCATTTAATAGCAGAAACATGCAATCATGTATTTGTGCATAACCTTTCTAGATATATAATGTGAGTGTGCTATTGTAAGCAGCACAGCATCATAACGGAAAATTAGAGTTTAAGGGTATGCAAAATTTCTGCAATTAAACTAAATGTAAACAAGAGACACTTTCTAAGTCTCTGCTTGTTACTAGCTATGAAATAAATGAACTCATTTCTCATGAGTAATAGGAGCATTATTTCATAGAACTGACTCCATCGAAGGTTAATAGTCTCCCTTGTTTCAAGTCTATGACAAAATATTACAATACAGTAAATATTCACCTTTACTACTAAAGACACAAAGGGAAATGCCCTAAAGTAGGAAATGCAAATAAAATAATTTTTTTAAAATAGTAATGTTTTAAATGTGATAAATTATTGAACTTGCCATGCAGGAGATAGTACAATCAAGATTGACAGGCACACTGTCCACATTACATTCAGTAAAGCCAAATTAGGAAGTAGTAACCTAGTACTAATGACCTCCAAGGGTACTAGGATTTTAGACACATGTTAAATTCACATCAATTTGCACTCTTTCTGAACAATACTTATTTTAAGTTTTATTTATCTAAGTAATCTCTATATCCTACACGTGGCTTGAACTCATGACCTCAAGATCAAGAGTCACATACTCTTCTGACCCAGCCAACCAGATGCCCCTCTTTCTGGACAATATTTAGAACAAAATTCAAAATAGGTCATTAATAATTAATTCCAATCTCTTTCAGTCTGCTTTCTGCTATTACTTTTACAAAAGCTAATCCTCAAAGAAAAAATTCATGGAAAAGGAATTACATGGCTAGCTAAAATCTCCAGTTAGGATAAACTCAACTTGGTCAACCTTCAAACTTCACTACATGTATTAACAAGTTGAATAATGTTATTTCATCTGCTTCCATTCCAGTTATTTATGTAAAAGTATCTACAAGCCAAAAGACATGAATCATTTTTTTTTCTTTCTCAAAAGGTATTCCTGATTTTCCAATAAAGTAGAAAAGCAAGTTAATGTAGACAGATATTTAACAGTTCAATGTTGTCCTTCAGATACTAGAAAGACTCAACGGTTTTATCTAGTGGAATGACCAAATCCCAACCCTTCATTACTGCAAATCCTTTTCCCACCACCCTGAACACCTGTCACAATTGCTTGCTTAGTCCACCACAACTTCTAGGGAGTCTACTGCCCCTTAACACCTTGCCACCTACTCACAAATTGCAAGCCCACAAACAAAGTACAGCATTTAACAGTGACATCATTCTGGGCTTGCCTTTTTTTTTTTTTAATTAAAAATCAGAAAATACAGCAATTTCTTCTTGAACATGCCAAAAATATAAATCCCGTAACCACAGAAGTCCTTGGATTTTACACAGAAAATGAGAACTAAAGATATAACTGACCATTTATTTTTACTTTTTACTTTTCAAAGATTTTCTTAAGTGATCTCTACATCCAATGTGGGGCTTGAACTTACAACCCCAAGACTGAGTCAAACGCTCTACCAACAAAGCCAGCCAGGCACCTCTGTAATTGGTCATTTAAGGTGAATCCACTTTAAAAGGGAGTAACACTCTTACATGATAGTATTTTTTAAAATATGTGTTTAGAATTTTATCCTGAATTAAAGGAACCCAAGAAATATCTTACAAAATTTAGATTTCTGTTATAACTAAGTGCTGATTCTTAGAACAACCAAAGAATGAATCAAGTATTAATTGGAGTTTCTTGGAGTAGTTTTTCCTGGCAAAATGCTATTAGAAGATAGAATTCATTATATGTTTGACTTTTCAGCATGATCATAAAATCAGTCATTTTTGCGTAATATTCAAGGATTTCATCAATTTCCCCAAGGGCCTCTCTTAAACCCTCCACATTAAAATATTTCCGTTAAGATGCCTACCTGATCATAATGTCTTCAATCAACTGGCACTTCCTCACTTGCCAATGATTTTTTTTTTTTAATTTTATTTATTTACTCATGACAGAGAAAGAGGCAGAGGCAGAAGCACAGGCAAACTCCCTGGTAGGGAGCCCAATGCAGGACTCGATCCCAGGACTCCAGGATCACGCCCTGAGCCAAAGGCAGATGCTCAACCGCTGAGCCACCCAGACATCCCAGTTGCCCGTTTTAGTTGTGCTTCAGTTATCAAATTCATGTTTATGAATTCCATGAAAACCTGAATCTTTTGCAAGTTTTATAATCAGTCAATATACAGCATGTGATACCATTTCCTGATGTGATACGATTTCCTGATAGAAAGCAAGGACAATGGCTTACAACAAAATTAAAAGAATTGAAAAAGGAACGCCTGGCTGGCTCAGTCAGTAGACCATGTGACTCTTGATCTAGGGGTTGTAAGTTCCAGCTCCATGTTGGGTGCAGAGCTTACTTTAAAAATAAAATCTTTTAAAAACAGAAAAGGAGCAGCAGGGATATTTGAGTAGGAACTAATTTTTTAAGTGGTCAGATCATTTGTGAATATTTTCATGCCAGGATGACTCTTACTTTCTAGTCAACATTTTAACTTGGAGAACTAGGATAATACTCAGAAACACACCCAGCCACACTACAACTTCCTAACATAATATCCTCTAAACTGCGGAAGGCGCTTCACTCTCAATTCTAGTAAGGGGCTGTAATGAGAAGTGTTTTGCTGAAGTTGCATGTTTACTACTCTAACACCAAGGTCCCAGATCTCAATTCTACAAAATTTCCAAAACTAGAGTTCCTTACAGCCCGGTTCTTGGCCCTCTTCTTCTCTGTATTCTTGTTCTTTGAGTGATCTCATCCATCCTCATTCCTTAAAACAACAGCTACCTGCTCATAAGTCTCAAATACGTATTTTTCAACCCAGATCTTTCCTCTGATCTCCACTTGACATCTCCCCTTGTATATCCTCGTACACAGCTCATCCTTTGCAGCCCAAAATCTCATTCTCAAGTTCCCAAGTCTCCCTTTACCACTTAAAAAAAAGACGTCTGTTTTCCTCCCAAGTTTTCCCCAACTTAGTAACAGGCACTGCCTAGCTGCTCAAACCAGAAAGGTAAGTCATCTCTCTTTTCTCTCACAAAGCTCCTACTTGAATTCCACCACAACATTCGATATGCCCACTCCCCTTTTCTCTAAACCGAACCAACTTCATTACCGAGCCTCTCTTAGTGTTCTACTGCAATCACCATCTAAACTATTTTCTATCAGTCTTGTCTCTCACACCATTCTCCACAAACAAGTTATTGTGTTTTTAAAAGAAATTATGTTCCTCCTGTACTCCTGCTCAATGGCTTCAGGGATCCCCACGGGGCTCAGCAGTTTGGCACCTGCCTTCAGCCCAGGGCGTGATCCTGGAGTCCCGGGATCGAGTCCCACATCGGGCTCCCTGCATGGAGCCTGCTTCTCCCTCAGCCTGTGCCTCTGCCTCTCTGTCTCTCATGAATAAATAAATAAAATCTTAAAAAAAAAAAAAAAAGAATCAAATCTTTACCACGGCCTTCAAAGTCCTGTACCATCTGACTCCCACCGTCCCTTCCAATCTCTTAGGGCTCGTTGCTTCTTGCTAAGCTGTAGCTGACTGACCTCTACGTTTTCCTTCCTCAGAGTCTTCATATTTGCTAGACACGCTTTACTCCTGATTAATTCCATGCAGGGATTCTTCTCATCTATCAGATCTCAGCTTAGAAATCCAGAAAGACCCTCCCTGACCACTCTCTCTGAAGCCTCCTCCTATTAGTCTTTACCACAGACGCTGTTAATTTTTTTTTTCCAAGCGCTCATCATGATCTGTACTGTTTAGGTCTAAAAAAAAAAAAAAAAAAAAAAAAAACTTCTCTATCGTGTCTTTCCCAACAGAATGTAATCTCCATGAGGCCAGGAACGCAGTTGGCCTGGTTTCCAAGTCCATCATTCCCTCTCTAGGCACACTGGGTGGGGTCTGGCATAGGTTTTGCTGACTAGCACTCACTAAATTTTATAGACAGATATAATTTTACGCCTATATGTACAAAATTAAGTAGGCATTTGATGACTGAGAACACCTTACCCAATACTTAATACAAGGAGTATCCTTTTATCCTACTTAGGATATGGCTGATGGAACCACACGGAACAGTAGCCCCAGGTTCACTCACTCACTATCCAAAATCCACGAAGAAGAAAAAAAAAGCCAAACAACACGCAACGAAGAGCGGAGTCCTTCTTACTTGGAGAAAGAGATGCGGGTATCTTGAATTTAAGCTCTCCTTTGTAAACGCCCCCGAAAGAGGAGTAAGGACCACAGCCGACGCGCGGAGCAGGCTTTGGGCTCAGACGGAAAAGCCGCCCCGAGCAGGATTCCGAAAACTCTCACCTGGCTCCCCCCTCCGCCTCGGGTCCACGAAGGACCCGCAGCGCCCCCCGCAGCGCCCGCCCGCAGCCCCCTCCCGCGCCCGGACCCTGAGCCTGGAGTCTGCCCGCCGGCACCCGAAACGCAGAGCGGGGCACCAAGGTTTTTTTTTTTTTAAAAAAAAAAAAAAAGGAGGCAGCGCGCCCCGGTCCCCACGAGGCCGCGCCGCCCACCGTGCGGGCGGGGAGCTCCGCAGCACCAGAGCGGCGGCTGCTGCCGGCACCGAGGCTGTAGGTACCACACCGGAGGGTAGGCCGGGAAACGGCAGGCCCTTGCCGGGCACCGGGAGGGGTCTGTGGGATTTCTCTCTCACCGCCACCCCCCAGCGCTGCAGGGCGAGCGCACCCCCGCTCCGCCCGCCGGGCGGCCAGTCCCAGGCCGGCCGAGGGGGCATGGACCCGGGACCCCCGCTGCCTCCGCCTCCTTACCAGTGTGATCCATGATTCGGCTCGCGGGGCACAGTGGGAGCGGAAGTCAACCGCGCCGGAGTCGCAGGGCGCGCGTGCGCGCTCCCTTCCGGAGCCCGCGAGGCGGAAGTGCGACCGAGCTGCCTCGGCTTGGGCCTCCCCAGGTTCCCCTCTCTGTCGGGTGGGTGCACTACCCAACTCCGGTGAGGGCGTCTGGCATAGTTCGAGGGAGACAAAGGGGGTACGCCAAGAGCTTCCAGGTCGAAGGCGCTAAGACTTGACTACAGAAATGAGACCCGCGGGCACGGGGGAACGGGGAGAGCACCAGCAGCCGGTGGAACGAGCTCGCGGCAGGTAAGGCGGCCGCTCGCCCCCGCGGAGCGTTGCCTTCTGGGACTTGTAGTGCGCGGCGGCCTCGGAGCCGGCCGGGCGCAACTGCGCAGACTCGGCCGTTGGGCTTGGCCCCACCCCGGCGGGCGGAGTAACGGTTTGGAATGGCCCGCAGTGCGCGCGCGCGCCGGCGTCCTCCGCGCGGGGGGGGGGGGGAGCGTGCGGGGAGCGTGGGGGGGGGGCGTAGACGCGCGCGCCCCGGAAGGCGTCCTCGGCGGGAGGTTGCCCCGGGGACGGCCGCGCCGTGGGAGCGGGGAGGGCTCTCGGCGTGCGGTCTCCATCCCGCCCGGTCGTGGCGGGCCCCGCGGAGCGCACGTGGTACCGGCCCGTGCTCCCACCGAGGAGGTGTGGTAGCGGTGGAGACGCAGCGCGGCGCCCCCGCGCGCCCCCTCCGGGGGGTGGGGGGGTGGGGCGGGGGAGCGCGGGCCCGGGGGGAGGGGCAGCGGGGCGGTACCTAGCTCCAGCTCCTGGTCGCCGGGGGTCGCGGCCGCGGCTGCCTTCATCGTCCCCGGCCTGCGCCGCGGAGTGGGTCCGGGGGCCCCTGAGCGAGGCGGCGGCGGCCTCGCCGACCGGGCTCCGGGTGTGCGCTCCCTTCTCCGACCCTTCGCACCTGGTGCTCTCGGAGGGGTGGGAAGGAGCGCACGATTAAGGAGAAAACACGAGCCTGGGAGCCCAGGGATTTGGGTTCTATTCCTGTCGTCCCTTGGTGACGACATCGTTACCTTGGGTGGTTCACGCTTTCCGTGCCAGAGTTCCTGGATCGATAGAAGAAGAAGATGATGATGATGGTGATGATGATGATGATGATGATGATTCTCCTGCCCTCCTCCCAGGAGCGCTCTCCGGCCCCGAATCCTGGAGGGAGCGCGTGCGGCGGTGCGCTGGGCCGGTAGTTCTGCAGCGAGATCGGCGTGGAGTCCTTGAGTGCTCCGCGCTCGCCGGTGGATGGAGGTTCTCCTGGGGCCTTTAAAGACTGTATTTGTTCATGAGACACAGAGAGAGAGAGACCTAGGCAGAGGGAGAGGCAGGCTCCCTGCAGGGGACCCCCCCCACACACAACCCAACCCCTAAGACCACGACCTGAGCCAAAGCAAAGGCAGATGCTCAACCACCGAACCAGCCAGGTGCCCCTTCCTGGGGTCTTGAAATACACTTCCCCGCGGCATCTGAAGCTTCCTAAACAAGTTTCTCGGTGCAGTTACAGCCAAGGGGAATTGTGAATCAGCCTTAACCCTTGCTTTTGTTGAAAGGTAAATTTCTGTATCACTAAGTGGTCTCCAGGACGCTTTCAATTGCTGAGCTTGTTTTTTTGTTTGTTTGGGAGGTTGGAGGAGGCTTAACCGTACCTTTGCCCTTTCTCTAAATACAGTGCTAGATATGATCGTGCATTTTTCACCCATTTGAGGTACAGAAGAAGGTAGTTTTCAGCAAGGAAGTCCTCTTTGTATTTTTTCTTGTCTTTCTTATTTTCTTTCTTTCTTTTTTTTTTTTTTTTTAAAGATTTCATCTATTCATGAGAGACACAGAGAGAGAAGCAGGCTCCATGCAGGGAGCCCGATGTGGGACTGGATCCCGGGTCTCCAGGGTCAGGCCCTGGGCGGAAGGCGGCGCTAAACCGCACCCCCCCACCCCCCCACCCCGCGTGGGGCTGCCCTTTTTTCCCTCCTCACATTTAGCCTGTCAGCCGTACTTCAGAGTAATGAAAATACAGGTTCACAATGGTATTATCAGTGTCTGCTGATGCTCATATGTAAAGAATTAAAGAGACTTCAAACTATACTATACATAATTTAGTCTGTAAATTAGAAGCTGTGTCAGCATTTTATGATGCATCAAGTTACTAAATTTTAGGGAGGGAACACTCACTTATTTTAGATTTCCTGTTGATAAAATGTTAGACAAACATTTGTTGAATTATTCGTTTGACATCTGTTGCTTTTTTCGTGCGCTGCTTGTAGCATCTGTGCTCTATATTCATTTCCCTCCTTAGCTGTAGTTGCCTCACTTTATCAGGGCGATAGCAGTGTGACAAGTTAATCCCTAAACTGATAAGTGAGACTGTACATAAGACTTTTATTTTATTGCTGCCCTCTGGTATCCCTTGTTGGTGACCTCTTTGCTGTAATCAGTCACAATTTCTTTATTAAAAGTTGACATTCTTAGTACGCTCTACATGCTTTCAATTTAATAATCTTTATTATTGATTGTTAGTATATTTAAGCAAGTTTTATGAAATGGAAATAAGTAAAATTAGCACGATTTAAAACAACAATAGAAACTTGATATTCATATTTATTTTATAGCTTGGTGCTGTCCTAGGATTTATAAGAACAAAATATTGTAGTAATGGGCAATCTGAAGCACTGAGGTGCATATTTCCATCTTACTGGCAGACCATCTGCTGACCCATGAATTTATAAGCTAATGTTCTTTTTTTTTTTAAGATTTTATTTATTCATGAGAGACACAGAGAAAGAGAGGCAGAGACACAGGCAGAGGGAGAAGCAGGCTCCATGCAGGGAGCCCAATGCAGGACTCAATCCCAGGACTCCACGATCACGCCCTGGGCGGAAGGCAGATGCTCAGCCGCTGAGCCCCCCGGGCATCCCTAAGCTAATGTTCTTGAAGATGCTTTAATAACCTTCCATTTATATAGCACTGTTTAAACTAAGAGAAAAAAAGGGTGGGTATCAGAGAGCTTGTTTGACTTGTTTTGTTGGTCTATGTTTGGGAGTGCTGAAACATAAGGTATGATTGTACAGAACGTTGAAGAGTAAAATTCTAGAGTAACAGTAAAGAAAGAGCCCATAGGGGTGCCTGACTGGGTCCATTGGTGGAGTGTGTGACTCTTGATCTCAGGGTCATAACTTCAAGTCCCACATGTGGCATGGAACTTACTTTAAAATTGTTTTTTGATTACAAAAAAAGTACATAAAACTTAGCATAAGTTATTCATATAAACAACATAGTTCAGCAAGATATAAATATTTTTAAATGAACAGAACTTCAATTTGGATGAGGAAAAGCGAACCAATAGTATTACCTATAAGAGAAGAACAGTTGACTGGGGTGCCTGACGGGCTCAGTTGGTGGAGTGTGCAACTCTTAATCTCGGGGTTATAAATTTGAGACTCAGGTGCAGAGATTACTTAAAAATTCTTTTAAAGAGAGAACAGTTGACCAAGAAGCCAGAGACTGCTATGATATCCAAAATGCTAGTAAGTATGAATGAACTGTTAATAACTGATCAGGATAGTGTCCACTTTAGAAGTTTGATAAGTAGGGGCACCAGGGTGGCTCTGTCGGTTAAGCATCCAACTCTTGGTTTCAGCTCAAGTCGTGAGATTGAGCTCTTGGTCGGGCTCTGTGCTTAGTGTGGAGTCTGCTTGAAATCTTCTCTCTCTCTCAAATCTTTTTTAAAAAGCTTGATAAATAGAAGTAGATGGGAAAGGCAGTAGAATATGGTGATTAGGTAGATGAACTTGAGAGTGAAAGACTGGGGGTTCCAAGCCCAGTGCTGTCATTTCCCAGTTGCAAGACTTCAGGCAGATGACCTAATCTTTGTGGCTGACTTGCTTCCTTTGTAGAATAGGGTTAATAATAGTGCCTGTCTTTAGGGTTGTGAGAATTAAATGTTTTTATTCATCTGAAGTATTTAGTACTGTCTGGCAGCCAGTAAGCCCTCATTAAATGGCAGTTCTTATTATCAAGGTAATTACTCTAGTCGTTGCTTCTTAAGGTGGTAGTTAAGATTAAATGAGATAATGAACATTACATGATAGCTACAACGTTATTATTACCTGTAAAAATGAATTGGCGATAGGTTTTGAAGAGAGGTCAGTTGGGCTGATTTAAACCCATTAGCACACTGATACACAAAGCAAAACTATGTTGAGCTAAGACTCTGACTTCTTTGTATTGGAAGCAGTTGTGTGATCTGCCCTCAAACTGAGTCATTAGCCATAACTGCAGCTGCACATAGTCCCAGCTTCCTTCCCTCCCTACCAGCTCTTGAAACTGAGCTCTAACATAATACCACAGCCAAGCCTTATCAAGTATGGCAGCTGGCTTTCCAAACACCATAAAAAACTGGGCAAGAGACAAATACAGGGAATAAGAAGGTTAAACCACAAGGAGTATTGCTGATTGAAGGCATTTCCCCAGTCATCCTTTGAGTCCCATAAATACACATAACCCAACTGGATAGGAGTACTTTAATCTAGAGAGGTCCTGCAGCCTCTCTCCCCTTCTGAGAAGGCATATTTTGCACTGGGTAACCTTTGAGCTGGATGGGCCTACTTCTCCCTCCAGAGCCTCTGCTAAGAGATAATTGCCTTTTTTTTTTTCTAATAAGCTTACTCTTGAAAGACTGCTTAGAATATTACACTGCTTGATAGCTGTGCCATGTTTGTAAGCAAGCAGTGTGTGAGATTGTTTCCTAGACCTGAGAAAGCTTTCATCCAAAGTCCAGCTGCCACTCCATGCCAGTTAGAAAGGGCTTTCAGGCTTCCCTGGTATACATGGCTTGTAAATAGGCCGTTACTGTTTAAGTAAAGGTCTGTTGCTATCAAATATATTTTACATCATAGCCCAGTACATAAACACAAACACATATGTATCACACATGGAAGTGTCATAAAGCTATGTTTACCCTTGCTATATCCAATTCCCTCTGCTGTTTCTATTTTCTTCTGTCCCTTTGAAAAAGCTTGCTGGTTA